AAACAAAAGAATTATATTTGTATTACCCAGTCTCCTAACTAATAAAGCTAACATTATAAAACATATATCAATAAAAAATAAAGTATATCATATACTATATCAAATGCATTTGTGAATGTTATACCATACTTTAATAATTTATGCTTTTGACACAGTAAACCATGAAATACTTTAGAAAATTTTATCTTAAAATAAATACTTTGATAAAAGTTGAGGAATTTTTTTATGTTAATTTTTCACCAAAAAGTAGCAAAATGTAATAATAAACAATATCGATAAAGGGATAATGTGAAAGGAATTGGTCAATTAGATCAGAAAATACATCTTTAAAGCGCGTGTTTAAGAAGAAGGAGAACAATAAAGAAAAAAACAAAAATATCAACAATCAACACTTTAAATAAAAAAATAAAAAACTGCTTTTAAATTAGTCTTTAAATCTTCTGAAAGGCAATTTCAACTCTTTCGATGAATATTATTTTTTTGTTCTTTATTGTTTTATCAAAGTTAGTAAACACCTTTATCTTTTATCAAATTTGAAACAGCTGCTTTTAAATTACTCTCAAAGTCTTATAAACTAAGAAGGATAATAATATACCTGGTCTGGTAAAAGGTTCCGTTTAATTTTGCAAAAGGTTAGATTCAACAGATAAAAACTTAATCTGAAAGCAGCAAATAGCTGTAAAGCGTAGATTTTAATAATATAGTGTTAATGTGAACTTTTATTTTGAATATTTTTATGTTAAGTTGTTACAGAAATGTATCAATCATAGTTATGATTAAATGATAAAGAGCGCTCAGATGATACACAGCAACAATCTTTGTCAAAATTCATGTTTTAGTATTAAAGAGTTGAGAGGAGATTTTAACCACAAAAAAGTTGTCTCCTCAACTGTAATGGGTATCTCTCCCTGGGGGAGGTAAATAACAATATATATATATATATATATATATATATATATATATATATATATATATATATATATATTTATATATAAATGTATATATATATATATATATATATATATATATATATATATATATATATATATATATATATATATATATATATGTATATATATATATATATATATATATATATATATATATATATATATATATATATATATATATATATATAACCCTGACTGGATCCTTAGTTTATATGTTTCTACGAGCAATCCCACATAAATCCCACATAAAGAAGATATCCTCTATCTTTCATGGTCAAATCACAGTACCAGTATTTGGTAATAGACGAAGTTTTCTAACAAATGCATTTTTTGAGAGAGCAGACAGACAGAGAGCTAGACAAGGTAAAAGTAAAGAAGCAAACCAATTGTGAGGTAGTTCAAATCTTCTAGTCTAAATTTAATTGCAAATAATACATAGCAGTAAATTAATTGGAGTAATTCACAGAAGGCCATGATGATCATGATTACTGATGAGCAAAAGAACAGCCGTGGCACAGTGGTTAGAGTTCTAACTCAGAACCCAGAGGTCCGAGGTTTGATTCCAGCTCTAGCCCAATAAGTGTAAGGTAAGGAAGGAGGCGTGAACTTCTAGTTAAATGCTCTTCTGCGGTGCTCTGTGATAAGACCGTAAGGACTTTTCAGGAGTACCTAAACAATCTAAAAAAAAAATATTGAGAGAAGTAAAATAGCATTGTGGATTTTTTGGAAAAGTTACTGTCACATGTGAGTTGTAAAGCATTGTGTAAAGATGGTTACAGCAGTTTCTGCTTTGGTTTATGGCAAGATGAAAAGAAATAGTTTAATATGTGTCCATCTGCAATATAAGAAGATTATGCCAATAGTTATTTATATTATTACAGATTAACAATTTTAACACAAAGACACATTACTCAATATGGAAAACATGCAAGGTATTCCAATAAAATGAAAAAGTTGCAATGATATAAAATTAATGAAATAAATGTTTGTTGCAATAATCATTTATTTCATTATTTTTAGCTTTCTTATTTTTTTGTAAAAACCTCATAAATCAAAAATTTACATACCGCATTTTGAAAATTTATATATTGAGAGTAAGTATGAATATTGATAGTAACTTAACATTAAGTTGTTTTATACTTTTCTTTCTTTATTTTTTAAGATTTTATCTAAGGACCTAGTGCCTGTTTCATGTACAAGTTGTTTGAAATAATTAATAATAAGTAACGTTATATAGTTATATAGTTATACAGTTTTTCAGGATCTGCTGCATATGTTATTGAAACACTATTTGACATTGAAGTATGTAAGAATCAGCTAATCGAGTGGATGATTTCAGCTAATGCAGATGTTATCAGCATATTTCTTGTAAATGTGAATGGACTATTAAGATGAAACAATGAGGAAACCTTACTTAATGTTTCAACAGTTATAAACTTATTGGTAAGTACGTTTTATAATTAATATTTTTATTGATATTGTTCCATGTTAATTCTAATAATCTTTTATCTCCTATATTAATTGTGATAATCTTTTATCTTGCATTATTTCGGAGATAAGGTTTTTCAAAACTCTAAGGTTTTTTGGTTCTGGGTACCCGTACTCAGACTTGGCGAGTCTGTAGCTAATCACCCGGAACTGATACCCTGTCTAAGACTTGGCGAGTCTCGTGATTTGAACTTATGGCCTTGTTTTATATGCTGTGAGTTGTTTTGTGAATCCCTAACGTTTCTAGGCAGCTGTATCTGATACCTAATAGCATGCTTAGATAGGGCTGTATTTATATTTTTATTAGGGAGGCCCACAGTCAAAAAATTTAATAAAATTGACCGTTGGGTCAAAATTGTCAATTAAAAAATTGTTGGGTAAACCTAATCCAGAAAGAGGCATTATATAATCAAAATATAAATTATATTATTCACTAATGTATTTTAAAACAATTTTCATTGTTTTTTCAATCATCATTGAAGAAGCTCCTTAAGGTATTGGAAGTGTGCACTTAATAGAAAATATTAATATTAAACATGAGTTGGCAATTCTTAGCCGAAACGATGCTAATCTTGCAACATTCCAATTAGCAATTGATTATATGATAAGAAAGTTAAAAGAATATAATGGTAATTTAAGTAGAGAACTATTAATGACAATAAATAACTCAAATAAACCAAAAATAAATAACTTAAATAAGTTGCCATTAAAACCAAGATTTAGAAGATTCTCCTGTAAATGGTACTATGCCGAAGAAAATACGAAAATTTACAGATTTATTGAAGAGATTATTTGATAGAAATGAAGAACAACAAAATACACATTATGAACACGGACATTCAACTCAAAATAAGGAAAATAATACAGGAAACGCATTAGCATCAACACTAGAGGAAAAACTTAATAAATTATTGTATATTAAACACTTATAAATATTTAATTTATACTATATATTTTTTTAAAGTACTGTCAAGTCTATTTGGTAGTTTAACATAAGTATAATTATTTATTAGTATATTTAAGTTAGGCTTTGAAACAAAAAGTTGTTTTATTTACCGAAAAATTTACCAAATCTATTTTTTCAATTGGTGGGAACATGAAAAATCCAATCATTCTTTTGTTAAAGTTGCAAGACAAAAAGACGTATTAGACCCGGACCTGATCTTGAACCCTATAAATATTCATAGGCTCGACTCAGGCTCATTGGGTCTAAAAATGCCGGGTTTTCCCAAACCCTACAAAACTTTTCCAATAAATTATGGATGATAAGTTATTTTAATAAACGCTTTGAAACTTTTTCAAGTTGCTACATAAAGTTTGACAAAACAGATAGCTGATATAATAGATAACTGAATTAAATGATATATCCATTATGGTGCATTGTCTGGTACCATAATTTGTAAGAAACCTAAATATTTCAAACTGCGGACTCATATTTTTAGTGAATTTAAATTTTAATTTGAGTTTTTTTTGTAGTGTTTTGCAATTTAAAAATGATTTGGTTGTACAATTGACACTCTCTTTTTTATTGGTTGTTTAATAAAAATTATTTTTTCATTAAATGAATCTTTTTAAGTCTTTGTATTTATGTCAAATTTTAAATATGTTATGAAATATAAAAATTATATAAATGTGAAATATTGCATATAATGTATGCATTACTGAATATATATATATATATATTATATATATATATATATATATATATATATATATATATATATATATATATATATATATATATATATATATATATATATATATATATATATATATATATATACCCATACATTAGGGATGTATGGGAAATGAGTTTTTTATCAAAAAATTATTCCAACTTTTTTAAAATTATAAATCTATATAAAAATTTTTAATAATAAAATTTTTGTATTTACAAACTTTTTGCTAAAGTGGTTCTAAGTTTTATGGACTTTAAATGGTTTTAAATGCATGAATAAAAAAAGAGTTAGATAGTATGTAGATTGTATGCATTATCATCTCTGCTTTTTTTTTTTATCAGATTGAAATCTAGTTTAGGATTCTTAATTGTACTGGATTTTTAATTATTCAGGATTTTCAATTCTTCAGGATTCTCAATTGTTCAGGATTCTCAGTTGTTCAGGATTCTCAGTTGTTCAGGATTCTCAGTTGTTCAGGATTCTCAATTGTTCAGGATTCTCAGTTTTTCAGGATTCTCAGTTGTTCAGGATTCTCAATTGTTCAGGATTTTCAATTGTTCTAGATTTTAAATTGTTCAGGATTCTCAATTGCTTTAAGATATAATTTTAAAAGTATATTTATCTGCATTTATTAAAGAATAAAAAACTAGTTTCAAAATCTTTTTTACATTGCAATAAGAAAAGTTCTTTAACAACCAAAGTATTTTAACATAAAAATGGTTGCTTCAATGATTAGTTGCTTCACTAGGTGGTTTTGAGTTTTTCAAAAACTTGGATATTAATTCACAATAAAATAGCTGACCTTAAATTTATCCATTTATTTTTTTTTCATCCTTATTTTTTCTTATTCTTTCCTCCACTTTCTGAGTGATTTTTCTTTTTTTTCTGCTCTGTAATCTTTTTAAACATTTCTTTTTTTTTTTTTTATTTACCCTAAACTCTAAGTGTTTTTTCTTTTTTCTTTACTCTGTAGGTGAAGCAAGTCAGTATAACCAGAGAAAATTGTCAAAAAAAAATTTTTATAACGAAAATTTTTTTTCTGATTTATAAATAAAAAATAAATTTGATATAATATTTTCTTACACAGATAATATGTATTTTGTTAAGATGTGAAAGAATGCTAACTTTTTAATATAAAAATATATTTATATATTTATACTTACAATTGTTAAAAACAATTTGCAAAATCTAAAAACCGAATGTAATATTTTATTTTTATTTCACAAAATTTTTTTGGCATTTAATAAAGAATTATAGAAATAATTATGATTCGCTGGTTGTGGCAAAAAAAAAAAACTTCAATATCTTAAAAAAAAAATCAGGCATAAATAACCTCTGGTTTCTTATTTGAAACTTGTATTTAGTTTTTCAGATCATTAAATATTTTACATAGAAAATGTTTTATTTAAACTTCTGATTTATTTTATAATGGAAGTTTTTAAAATAAGTAATTTCTAAAATCCAAATATATTTTTTTATTACAATTAGTTTGATTATTTTTGAAAATCCTCAAAAAACCTCTAAATTTTGCACCAAAACACTTTTGTAAAGTATCTATTGAAAAAAAAAGTAAAAAAGAAAAATATAAAAACTAAATGTTTCCAATGTTACCAGGCCTCCAATCTGTCTTTATTGCATTTTTCAAGATAGGATATATGTTATGTAGAATGGTTATTTTTATTTTATTTTAAATTATTTTTATAGTAAGTAAATACCATATTTTGATTCGTAATCTTTTTATGAGCTAACAAATAAAAACTTTTAGAAATGAAAAAAATTAAAAAAGAATTTATTAAATTAGAAATAATCATAAAAAAGGTTATTTTAAACTTAAAATTGTTAATTTCAATAATATATTATATAAAAATTTTAATTTTATTAACATTATCAACAAAAGTTAAACGAATAAATTTTTTAGTTAAAAATAATCATGAAAATAATTATACTTTTAATGATTTCTGGTAAATCATTACAATAAACATAATTCTTTGTTATTAAATATATTCTAAACTGTACAAACAAGTTCTACTGTTTGTATAGTTCGGAAGTGGTTTACATAAGATGCAGTGTATAAAAGAGATTTAGTGGTTTACAAGAGATGTAGTGATATTTAAAAGAATTTTTATTGTAGTATACAAAAGATGTAGGTGTTTACAAGAAAGGTAGTGGTTTACAATAAAGTATCTAAATTAGAGTTATAAATACCAATTGAATATCAATTTTTAATAATATCAATTTATCACTAATTCAAGTTTAAATCCTCTAACTATTTTTTTATATTCGCTTGCACCCAACCTCCAATTTCATTCAATTCACCTCTTTGCTAAATCGCTGTTTCATTAATTTTTTTTATTATCATTGTCCTTCTTCCTGAGAGTGCACTATTTTTGATGTTGTTTCTTACCAAATTGAACTCTTATTTTTCCTTAGTCAATATTGTTGTTGTTATTAGACAATATTGTTGTTATTTTTGTTGTTTTTAGTCAATATTGTTGTTATTGTATTGACCTTGTTGGCTCTAAAGCTCATAACTTTTTTAATTTCTTAATCTCTTGCTCAGATGGTCAACTTTGTGACTTGTTTTCCATGGCAGCCCTAATTACTTAGGGTAACTCCATTTTAAACTGGGACTGTCGTTTCAGTCACCTCTCTGATTTTCTTTAAATTTTACCCAGTGGTACATAACAATGAAAAATGAAAAATGTAAAATTTGAGCTCCCAAATACAAAGGGTTATGACACTTTGACATTCAGCCTAAAACGTTCCATTTTTTTTCAAGTCCGCTATTATGGATTTTGTAGTTTTTTAGCCTAAAAAGTTGTACTATTTAATAAATAATTTAAGATTTTGTGGATCAATGTGGCTAAAAATGGGTACCTATCTGTGGCTAAAAATTGACACCTTTTGAGGGTGCTAAAATCAAAAATGTAGAGAAAATAGTTAAGTTTAAATTTTTTGATGGTTACTTTTTGATTTCAAAATGGTTAGTCAATTTTTTTTGTTTTTTTACCAAGGGTTGCGCTTTTATTAACTCCCAGAGTTGCCCAAGTCTCATGGATTCAACTTTTTTCAAATGAAGTAGATGACCCTTGGCTATCTTTATTTATAAAATGGTTTTGGTTTCTTAAAGTATTATAGAGATATGCCATTTCGAAATTAAGACAAAAGAAATATTTTTGTAGCCTCTATTCTCCATTATGGAATTTATAATAATACTTATTGAGTGAATAGATTCAGTTCTAGTGGAGAAATAGTATTGAAAATTAATACCTGACC